TTCAGTTAAAACTAGAAACTGAATTTTATTACCTATTAAAACTACTTTTTTTAAGTACAGCCGCATAAATCTGTTTTCTTCTTATTTTAACATACCTAACTATCTCCTAAGAAACCTTTTAATCGTCATTACAACATTACATACGAATTTCTGGTTTGAATAAAATTCTTTCAATTGTCTGTACCCAATACATAAGCTAAATCAGTCAGTGTTTCCCAATATTTTTAGAATGGTTACCCACAAATTTAATTTTCTGAGTAGGCAACCCTCTTYCAAAATTAAAAAAATCAACTATATGCCATATTATAATAATATTAATACATTTTTGTTATACGTAATTATATCATTTACTTTTAATAAGATAATGCAATATTGAAGAATTAATACTTAATTCTGTTGAATGTATTATAAAGATTATTTTAAAATTCAAATARTTTATTTAGTTTTTTTTTTTATTATTAGTTGATGATAGCAATCCATCACAAATATTTGTCGACCCGATTTTGGGTCAAGACTCATAGGTTGGGAAACAATGTGCTAAATAATTTTTTTCCGTACAATTTTTTTTTAAACTTTTCACAATGTATTTTTTCAACTGATTCCATTCAATTATTAAGTTTTCATCCTATTATCTTTTCACACTAACAACTAGCTTTATGTCTTAATAATAATTTCTTTGACCTTTAGTAAAACTATAGTTATTCGTTTTCGTTATCACAGCAAAAACATTCATATAATATTGTTCCTACGTCATTTATTAAGCTGAAATGCTGAATACAAATTAAAAAAACATTAAATGATTAAATTAGCTCAAATCYGACATCGACAAGTACTATGGAAACTTAAAACTATGACATCGTAAAACAAAAAGTAATTAATTATAGTCTCATGGTTTAAATTATGGAGAAGTACTAAAGAAGCTTAATATAATTCAGAAAATATTGCCTTTTTTTAATTAACTTAATTTTCTCCTYCGTTTATCTAAAATCAGATATTTATAAAGATTTCAGAATATAATGTCAGTACTGAGTGCATGAATAGAAGTTAAATGATTTTGTTAGAGATTCCACAAAAAACTACTTCACCATTCCAATCCACTTATTAAAAATTTATCGTCCTTAACCATTCTGGGTAATCCTCTGAGACACCTAAAGCTAATGGTATTGCAATATTTTAAATGAATTAAATTTTTTTTTCTAAAACGGCAATAATTTTGGATTTTAATTTTTTTTCTTATTTTTTTTCGATATTTAAACACAATGCTTTCCAATTTTCTAGATTACTAATTAGTTTTAAGTGCATACTCTTTTAATATAGTCTATATAACGAATGTGTGGCGAATTTTTTGTTTATTTTTTTAAACATAAATACCTACTTCATGGTTTATGGGTGATTTTCTGTTATTTATGTTACTTTTGATCCATCGATACTTCAATAACAATATTAGTTTTTAAGTAATATATAAAATAAAATATTTATACTATTTTTCACTTTTTACTATAACATGTAATTTTTTAGTTAAATTACACTAGTCTCGGATAATAATTAGGATTTATTTTAACAACGCGACCTACATTGGTGGATTACATGTAGAATATATGTCTATTTAATTAATTGAACATTGGTTGTCAACTATATTTTTTTTTTAATAAATCATATTATATTGAAAAAAAAAATGATTTAATGTATTTTAGAATTTTTAGATCATAAAAACTTGCTATTAATTACCTACTAATATATTTTTAATTGGTTTTGCCATCAATAGGTGTCTTCTTCCAACAAAATAATCATATAATACTTATTTTTTATTATAACACTATTTCTTATCATATCTATATATTTGCGGTAGTTAAATAGATAGATAGAATGTAACTACCTTATATAGGAGTATACACATTTTATACTCAATTTAATATTATATCATAATTTATAGGAAAGGTGAGACTGTATATATTATAATTGTATTAATTTAACTGTATATAGCCTGTAGGAAGCAGGGGTTTTCGCAATGAGTTTGTAATCTATATATTATAATATAATATACATTATAAATTTATGCATTTATAAACATATGGCCTACAAACCTTTTTTAAATCGTTTTTAAAAATAAATTATAATAAAACTGTACCTAATATACTATAATTGGTAGTAAGGGAAATTTAGCTCAACTAATATATATTATTTTTATTGTGTTTAATAAAAAAACTCTATTTTATGGTAAAACATGGTATATGACTTTACAAGTCACCCTTATCCACAACTATYCACAATTCGACTCTTCTTTGATTTCGATTTTCTCGTATTACAGAATATTYCTATAATTTTTTACTTTGCAATTTAATTATTTAAAAAGTTCCAAACAAAATTAGGGTGGTAATAACAAAAACTAAATAATTAAATTGGAATTGTTTAATAAACATTTATAAAAAAATATATACATTTAAACTATTATATTACACAGTTGAACGTTTCAAAGTTGTTCAATTTATTTTTCTGTAATTATTAAGCGTTTAATTTTTGTTTCTACATTTCATTGTTTCAATAATAAATTATCTCAGATAAGTTATCTCATAAGTTATTTCAATATAATTCGAAGATTTGAAGAAGTTGAACTTAATTAAAACTTGAGCTGATATACTATTATTGCTTTTCTAGATCTAAATGTCCCATTATTACAACTACAGCAATAATATTTTGTATTTGTTAATGTTTTGTCGCCATTTTATACCTACATAAAGTCACTGTAAATATTTACATAATGTGACGGTAGGTTATTATTTGTCGTTATAGCGAGCATTAGAAAGTGAAATTTTATTATTGTTGAAAATGTAAATTTAATACCACATATAATAATTAATTTTTTATTTTAATGATAGTAATCACTGTTCAATACTCATAATATATCATATTCATAAAATTGTTATTTAAACTAGATAAACGAGACGTTATTTTGTCACCAATATCAAATTTGGGAACATGGCTTTCGTCATCAACTTAATTTGTTGATAGTTCATTAGACAAGCGACTAAGATAATAATATTATAGAATACCGAAACTCGAACTGTCAGTGAAAATAATTATGTACGATAATACGATATTAGGTATATAGATAAATTCCCTAAATTGAATTCTGATTTAAATGACGGCGAGAGCGTGAGATGAATATTGTAAAGACGAATATCAACACAGTATAATAATATGTTACCTAGTAGATATTTACCTAAAACAAATGTATCGGATTATAAATAATATTATATAGGTATTATAATAATAAAATAATCATTAATAATTATTATTGTCTTGTTGATAGTAAAATATTATYGTTATCATTTGACGTTGCGTTTTACACTTTTAATAAATGTCATTTAATATAAAGAAGTGTTTACTGTGACAGAAAACTTCCTAAATGAAATAAAAATATCTCTGTATTTTTAAAATACTGTTATCTAAGTACTTCAAAATTTCAAAAAAAGA